CTCTCTCTCTCTCTCTCTCTCTCNCTCTCTCTCTCTCTCTCTCTCTCTCTCTCTCTCTCTCTCTCTCTCTCTCTCTCTCTCTCTCTCTCTCTCTCTCTCTCTCTCTCTCTCTCTCTCTCTCTCCCTCTCTCTCTCTCTCTCTCTCTCTCTCTCTCTCTCTCTCTCTCCAGCGTGCGCGCGATATATTGCTGTATGTATAGTAAAATAAAATTGTATAGAACTGTGTAGAATTATATAGATTGTCAGTATGTTCAAGCAATGTATGGAAATAAAAAATTCTAATAATAGATGAGCTAGCTTTTTCCTAGCTCTTTGCTAGGAATATGAATTCCATGTTTGAGTTATTCAGGTACAGTTGTGGTCAGAAAGCTACTCCGATATTTTATGTCATGCGAGAGATTATACTTTTTCTCACGGATACGTGCGATGACGCATTATTAGAGTAAAGGAATGATGATCTGTACGAATATCTACGCAATAATACATGTATTCCGAAAACTTACTGTAAAACTTTGGATAACCTTCCCGACCATGATCGTATAGCTAGCATAATGTTACATATTATTGCATTTAAGTACACAGCTGAAGAGAGAACACATCGAACGGACATACTGTTAATAAAGAGTTAGCATACATTGTTTTAAATTTTTTAACAGATATAAATATGCTATATCGTTTGGATCATGCCAATGTTTCATTTCCGACATCAAAGCTTTGCTAGCAAACAACAGCAAAATAGACGACATAGATGCATAGGAAGATGCTAACATTTTTGTTAGTAATATATCACGAGACATGATAGTTATAATTATGGTTTTTACGCGAGTCGGTTAAGTACGTGTGTAGAGGGGCTTGTACGCGAGCGGCGTGTCGAAGGCTGCGCCTATAAAAATTTAACGCGCCCAGAAAACGACGTAGTTCCGCTACAGTCTTTGGCTTCGGGAGATCTCGAATAGCAGCCACTTTTTCCGGAGAGGGTTTAAGACCGAATTTGTTTACGCGATGACCGAGAAAGGTCAATTCCTCTACACCGAAAATACACTTAGATGGGTTGATAACTAACCCGAATTCCTTAAGTTTCTGGAACACAATGCTTAGATGTTTCCTATGCTCCTCCATGGAAGAGGATGCAATAAGAATATCATCTATGTAAGCAAATGCAAAATCGAGATCCCGTAGGGCATGGTGAATGTACCGCTGAAAAGTCTGAGCGGCATTCCGCAGACCGAATGTCACGGAGACGAATTCGAATAGACCGAACGGCGTTATGACGGCCGCCTTCGGAATGTCTGACTTAGCCATTGGAATCTGGTGGTAGGCCTTGAAGAGATCAAGGGAAGAAAAGATTGTTTTACCTAGCAAATTTGAGGTAAAATCGTGTAGGTACGGTATCGGATACTTATCCAGAATTGTGACGGCATTTAAGCGACGGTAATCGCCGCACAACCGCCAATCACCGTTACCTTTGCGGACAAGGTGAATCGGACTAGCCCAAGGGCTGCTGGAGGGCCTACAAATGCCTAACTCAGACAGCCTCTTAAGGGGTAACACCACTGTATAATTTTCAGAAAATTGATTTTATTTTTATTGACTTAAAAGATTATTTTAACCTTCTAGAATAAGGGGAAAAAGTTTTATGCCTATACAAAAATTTTTTTAAAATTCCGACCTCTTTCCCAAGCGCGTCAAACTGCTCCGAAACGACTTCCTGCGGCACATAGATACTTGTTGGAAGAGTACAGCCTAATTAAACTTACTTGTTTATTTTTAACATCTCTAATACACTAACAGGTCGTTAGAAGGAGTTGGTGTTTAGTTACAAGCAAAGTACGTTAGTAGAGTGTCAGTACATCTACAGAAAGGATATCATTTCCTCGCTTGAAATCACGTTTTTGTGTGTAGTGCTGATTTTTGACAATTTATTTATAATCTTAGAGTTTTTATAAGTTATAATGAGTGACAAAAAAGTGTTTATGGGCAAGAAAGGTACGAAAATATTGTATCCAACGCGGCGTCGGAGCAATGTGTCAGCGAGACGACCGTTGAATAGATTTGAGGCTGAGAGCGATTCGATAGGAGTCAGTACTTCTGCCAAGAAATTAAAAGTTAGCGATGAAGATTTTGATATAAAATATGAATTCGGCTATAGAATTATTAACTTCTTTGCTGTTTTCTCTGCCATTTCGCAACACGTGAAGTGTAAAACGTGCGACTCAGACATAACATTTCATGAAACGAGTCCTCGAGGTTTAGGCTTCAAAATAGTCATCTCTTGCCCGAATTGGTCAAGAGTTGACATATCAAGTGGTAAATTCATACGAAATGGATATGAAATTAACCGTCGAATCGTGCTAGCAATGCGACTATTAGGAGTGGGACTACATGGAATAATTAAGTTTTGTGCATTCATGGAATTGCCACGACCGATATTTCAATCTTTTTACGACAGATTAGTGGATATGATTTCGATCGCAACGGCAACCGTACGAGACGCTAGTATGAAAAAAGCGGAAGAAGAGAAAAAGAAAAGTGAAGAAAATGGACTATTTACAGGGATAACTGTTTCCGGTGATGGTTCGTGGAGGAAACGTGGATTTTCGTCGCTTTTCGGAATCACGTCATTGATTGGATGGTTCACAAGCAAAATCGTTGACGTTGAAGTGAAGTCGAAGTACTGTAAGTCTTGCGAGCACTGGGAGAGTAAATCTGGAACAGCTGAGTATGAAGAATGGCTCAAAACACACACCGATCAATGTCAATCGAACCATGAAGGCTCATCTGATGGAGGTAGATGCTGTCGTCGAGATGTTTAAACGCTCCGAAAAATTGCACGGCATCAAATATGCAAACTACAAATCGGTGATGGTGACAGCAAAACTTTCAAGGGCATAATGGAGAAAAATCCGTACGAAAATTTTGAAGTGCAAAAGAAAGAGTGTATTGATCATATACAAAAGAGAATGGGCACTCGATTGAGAAATCTAAAAAAAAAATGTGAAAGGCCTCGGAGGAAAAGGTAAATTAACTGCCAAATTAATTGACCAATTGACAATTTATTATGGCTTGGCAATACGGCGGAATCCGAACTCCTTGGAACATATGAAAAATGAAATCTGGGCGACCTTATTTCATAAAATGTCAACCGACGAAAATCCGCAGCACGAGAAGTGCTCAAAGTCTTGGTGTGACTGGAAGAAGGCGCAAGCAGCGGATTCGTTAAACACCTTCCATCATAAGTCGCCGTTATCGAAGGAAGTTTGTCAAGCGATCAAACCGATTTATGAGGAACTAAGCCGTGACGAGTTGCTAAATCGTTGCTTGGGAGGCTACACGCAAAACAGCAACAAAAGTTTCAATGCTACTGTTTGGAACTTGGCTCCTAAGTCCTACTCAAGTGGCAAAAAAGTTTTAAATATAGCGACTGATATTGCTGTGTGCAATTTTAACGACGGTCTGACTAATATTCTGCGAATTATGAAAGTTTTAGAGATGGACATTGGCCCTCAAGCATACAATTTTTGTCTTGAAGCCGATGCTATGCGCATCAAGCACGCCGAGCTGTCTTTGACAGATGCAGCAAAAGAGGCACGTACCAGCATAAAATCAACGAGGAAAGAAAATGAGGAAGAATATTTGAGCAGGGAAGGGCAGCTTTATGGTCCTGGGATAGCAGATTAATGGTAAAAAATTTTAAACAGTCAAATTTTTCATTTTTTCTCGTCCATAACACATCTCAAAACTTTAAAGGTGTTTTTCTCGAAACATGATTTTTTAAAATGGCACGCAGCATAATTCCAACAATTTTCATTCTATTCACTCTAACTTTTGACCATATCTTTAAAATAACATTCCGAAGAGAAGTACGTACGGGATTTTCGATAAGTTGATTTTAACATTATTTATGGACAAATGATTGCCTCTTTTTTTGTCAAAAATGGAATTTTTTCTTCAAATGCTCGCCAATTACATAAAAATTAATGATTTCAAAATCCCCTACGTATTTCTCTAGCTATACTCATATAGATTAAGAGAAAAAAATTTTTTTTTCCAGATTCAAATTTGCGTCAGTTACACTGCGTGCCACAGAGCGCCTCAAATTCAACATGCCTCGCGAGAATGGCTCCAGCGTCGCCGTTTTGGACTATTTTTTAATAAATTTTTTTTAACACTTAAAGACATGGTTAATAACATTCTTGAATATTATTATCCTCTTACTTTATCTTCCATCAAAAAAAAATCGCAAAAAGCGCTTTATTTTAGACTTTTACACATGGTGTTACCCCTTAATTTCAGCCTTAACTGCCTTTAACCTATCGGGGGGTAGCCGGTGTGGCCTCTCCGCGACGGGAGGACCAGTAGTCGAGATATGATGCTCGACAGCACATGCGGCAGGCGAAAGCGTTTGACCGCAACCGGTAACCTCTGGGAATCCCGAAAGGATGTCCGCAAATTTATTATTATTATTAATTACCGAAATGTTAATTTCCGGTACTGTCAGTATCTGTCCGGACGATGACAGAGAGGTAATACTGTCGACCAGACGACGTTTGTGCAGGTTGACAATTAACTTGTAATGTGTCAACACGTCTGCACCAAGGATCGCAAAAGGCACGTTCGCTACGCGAAAATTCCACGTGATAGGACGCCACAAGCCAAGGTCTAGAGTGAGACGACGCTCGCCGAACGTATCAATTAATATATTGTTCGCTGTAAAAAGTTTAAACTCTGAGGGCGTGTTCCTATCGAGTAAGGACGCTGGGAGTATAGAAATCTCCGCGCCCGTATCCACCAAAAACCGTTGACCGGTGATCCGGTCAAAAACGTGTAGACGGCTTTGATTGTGCCCGACATCCCCGACCTCTCTTCGCGGGGAGAGCGAACTAGTTTTCCGCCGCGTCGTCTTTCCACGAGCAAGGCTTGCGGCAGGACGTGGCTTTTTTCCCGTATTTACGGTGAATGTAACAGTAGCCTGTTTTACTATCAGACTTCGCTGTTTCATCACCATGCTTATTGCTACGCTTGCGGGAGGTAGATCGGTCTCGGCGCAATTTTGCGACCGAGGTGCTCAAAGACTGGATCTGTTTGGTAAGCTTATCGATCCGCTCGTCAGTGCTCAGAGGAGCTTTAGGACGAGCGCCTTTGGATTCTTTGATCGGCGCGACAACGGCGACTGCGGAACTGGGACCGTTAATGTCGGCAAGTTTATCCGCGATTTCTGCTAATTTCTGCAAATCAGGTTCATTAGTCGCAACCAAAATGGCTTTATGCGTGTCTGGCAACAGCTCAATAAAGAGAGATCTTAATACGGCAGAGCTGTATTGCCCGCCGTTGAGCTGATTCATTTGACTTAACAAATGCGAGGGCCTCCGGTCCCCCAGAACCTGACCTTTTAATAACTGCCGTAAGCGGGCCTCAGGTGAGACCGCGAACGTCGCGAGAATCCGATCTCTGAGCACTTTGTACAGGTTATCGGGCGGTGGATCCGCTGTAATCAAATCTCGGACATGTGAATAACCTCAGGATCGAGGCTAGCGATAAGATAATCGACTTTCGTACTGTCAACGGTTATGTTCGCGTTTCGGAACGACGCCGACGCTTCAACCCGCAAAAACCAATCTTCCGGGGCCTGTCGCCAGAAGGGCGGAATCTTCGGCACCTGGTATGATTCTACGCGCGCATTGACCTCTGACATATTTAAATTATGAGACGCGTACCGTGACCCGAGAAAAAAATGAAAAGAATGACAAAAACTGAGGAGAAATACCAGAACGAGGCAAAACATATGCCTCAACGGTCTCGAAGTTCTTGACGAGGCGTCGTCCCTCGAAGGAGGTAGAGCTCGGACTCGAGACGTCGGCGAGAGGGAGAAGCCTTCAATTGCGCACAGTACAATTGGACACGATGCAATTGCACACAGTGCTATTGGACACATAATGTTGCGCACAGTTCTTTTGCGCACCGTTCATTTGGACACAGTTCTTTTGCGCACCGTACAATTGGACACCGTTGCTTTTGGACACAGGTTATCGAAATATAATTTAAAACACACAGACACACGCGTATGCATGTAGAGCCCTGTTTGGAAATTTTACTAATTTATAAATAATAAATCTTTCTAAATCAGCGTTTGTTCAATTGGACAGTTCTTTTACGCACAGTTCAGTGTCGCACAGTTCAGTGTCGCACAGTTCAGTGTCGCACATTTCAGTTTCGCACATGTCAGTTTCGCACAGTTCTCTTTTGCACAGTTCAGTTTCGCATAGTTCAGTGTCATTGCACATGTAACAGATACAAGGTGAAGTAATCAAGAATTAAAGAAACAAATTAAGTGAAATCAACTATTTTGTAAAGCAGAATATTCTTGTGTGCATCTACACTGAATTGTGCGAAAGTGAAATGTGCGAAACTGAAATGTGCGAAACTGAACTGTGCGAAACTGAACTGTGCGACACTGAACTGTGCGAAACTGAACTGTGCGACACTGAACTGTGCGACACTGAACTGTGCGACACTGAACTGTGCGTAAAAGAATTGTCCAATTGAACAAACGCTGATTTAGAAAGATTTCTTATTTATAAATTAGCAAAATTTCCAAACAGGGCTCTACATGCATACGCGTGTGTCTGTGTGTTTTAAATTATATTTCGATAACCTGTGTCCAAAAGCAACGGTGTCCAATTGTACGGTGCGCAAAAGAACTGTGTCCAAATGAACGGTGCGCAAAAGAACTGTGCGCAACATTATGTGTCCAATAGCACTGTGTGCAATTGCATCGTGTCCAATTGTACTGTGCGCAATTGAGCCTCTCCCGGCGAGAGGAGGTTAATTGCGCTGACCTGCGTACCGCCGGACGGCGGTGCCTGTTGGAAGCGCTGACTGGGGCGTACCTCGATGCCTGCGTTGACGTGCGCGTGCCAGGGCTGACAGCGCAACGCGTCCCGTAGATATGGTCCTCGTGCGCTGCGGTATGGTTCCGCGCGCTGTCGGTATGGTCCCGTGCGCTGCGGTATGGTCCCGCGCGCTGCGGTATGGTCCCGTGAGCTGTGAGGTGTGCCCTGTGGGACGATGTGGCACAGAGCCACGGTTAGATCCCGTCAAACCCAGTTTATAGAC